TTAAATATTAAAAATTAAATATTTCAAAACAATTGAACTAAGAAAAAGTTTTCATGATAGTAAAGAATTACTAAGAATAAAATGTAAGATAAATATTGGAATGGCAAATATATGACCAGCACTTCTAACAGTCTGGGGATAGGATATCGTACAAAGTTCTAGCATGTTGTGGACACGGACAGTGTCCATGACACTGGTGGCCAGCTGTCACTTATGGGACTGAGCTACTGCTATTGCCTTGATATCCACCCTGTAGACCAAGACGAAATCATGACCCATAGGGTGCAGGAGAAGTACATTTGTAGAGTATACTGATGGAAATGTTTTGCTTCTGTATACAAAAGAAAAGCTGAAAGATTGCTTTTGTATACCTCTTATTCTCCTGTGTTTTTTGCCCTATTTGGTGGGTTATTTCCACTCTCATTCATGGAGTTGTGGTCATTTTGATCCCTTTCTACAACATCTTTTAGTAGTCTGCGTAGGATTGGTTTTATCATCATGAAATTCTTAAGTTGTTCTTTGTCATGGAAGTGTTTCACTTCTCCATTACATTTGAAAGAGTTTTGCAGGGTATATATATATCATTCTGGGTTGAAATTTGTTTTCTTGCAATACTTGTACTTTGCTCCATGCTCTTCTTGACTTGATGGTTTGTGAAGAGAAATCTGATGTTATTCTGATGGGTTTTCCTTTAAATGTGATCTGTTTCCTTTTTTTAGTGGCTTTTAGTATACTGTTTCTGTGCTGAATTTCTGGGATCTTGATTATTGTATGTCTGGGTGTGTTTTTAATTGGGTTGATGTTACCTGAATGTCAGATTGTTTCCCCATATTTGAGAAGTTTTTGCTATTACTTCTGTCCATATTCTCTTTATATCATTTGTATTGACGCCTTCTTTCTCATTTATGTCTATTAGTCTTATGTTCATCTTTGCATCATCTTGTAGATGTTGAATTATGTTTTCCTGCATCTTAGTTGTTTTTAAGAGATCTTTTCTTTCCTTTTCACTAGCTGCAATGGTGTCTTTAAGGTCTGAAAGTCTATTTTCACTTTCATTTAAATGGTTTTGCCAGCTTGCGACTACAGTTTTAATTTCCTGTATAGCATTTTGAATCTGCTTCATGCACTCTATTTCTTTCCTATATTGCTCATTCAAGGATTCCATCATTTTTCTATTCTCCTCTATTTTTTTTATCAGTGTCTTCTTTAGAAGCACTTAGTACTTCTTTCATCATAGTTATCATTTCTTTTTTACTTCAGAAATTATTTCTGATCTGATTTCCTCAAGACCTTTCTGCAGTTGTTTCTTTGCTTCAAGCCACTATTATTTCAGAGATTTCAGGTGTGTGATTTCTAATTTCTTCTATGCTGGTGTCTCCTGCATTTGTTCTGGGTGGGTTCCAGGCCTGAGAATGCATTTTGCTCCTTCTCTTTGTCATTTTGTATAGCACTGTCCTCTGACCTTTGGTGTAGGGCTTAGATAGTTATTACCTTAGTACCAGGTTCAGATCTACCAAGTTCAAACTCATCCAGGTGGGTGTGGCTTGGGTCTGGCTGCTGTGCTCCACTTCTTCCTGCTATAATACTCCTTGGAGATGAACCCTCTGTGCCACTCTGGCAAGATGTTCTGCTCCTGGATCAGCTGAGTGGGTCTTGCCTCTAGCCTCTCTGCAGAGAGTTCTGCTGGAGGGTTCCACACCGAGCCTGTCTGATGGAGGAAGTTCTACTCACACGCCGGGCCTGGGTTGAATGAGGACTTGGCAGGCCTTGGGTGGTCTCACACATGCTGGACCTGGGCTCTGGGTCGAATGAAGACCCGGCAGGACCCAGCGGGCCCCGGAAGTCTCATTCACGCTGGGCCTGGGCTCTGGGTCGAATGAGGACCCAGCAGGCCCCGGCGGTCTCACTCATACAGGCCTAGGTTGAATCGGTCCTCACTTTTTAACCAGCTTATCAATCATTTAGGAAGAAACTCTCCTTGACTCATTTTATGAGGTCAGAATTACCCTGATACTGAAGTTAAATGAAGACAATCCAAGAAGAGCACAGACCAAAATCTTCATTGAATATAAATACAAAAATCCTAAAAAAATATTAGCAAGTTAATCCTAACATTATATTAAAGGACTCTACATCACAACCAAGAAAGTTTTTTTTTTTTTTTCCCAGAACTGGGGATTGAACTTGGCCTTTGTGCTTGCCAAGCAAGCGCTTATTCTACTGAGCTATCTCCCCAGCCCCAAAAGTTTTATTCTAGGAATAAATGCATTCACCACACCCAAAACAACCCACACAAAAGATCATTTTAATAAAATGAAGGAAAACCCCACACAATCATTTCAGTAGTACAGAGTTTGACAAAACCCAACACAATACACTGAAACAGGATAAAAGACAACATCCTCAACTGATTT